GTTCTCCCGTTGAGCCTCCCCGTTCTCCCGTTGAGCCTCCCCGTTCTCCCGTTGAGCCTCCCCGTTCTCCCGTAGAGCCTCCCCGTTCTCCCGTTGAGCCTCCCCGTTCTCCCGTAGAGCCTCCCCGTTCTCCCGTTGAGCCTCCCCGTTCTCCCGTAGAGCCTCCCGTTCTCCTGCAGGGTTCAGATCATACCAGAAGTTCTGGAAGTCCATTCTAAAGGTCGGCGTCCTTCTCAGGCACGGCCCTAGAACACTGAGCTGATTCCAACCCAGCCGGACCTTTAGATCAGTAACAGAACCATTCCCAAAGCGTTCTGATTTTGCCTTCCAGTTCTCCATTCATCGGGTCCCGAGGAGCCGCGAGGTCCACCAGTCCTGGAGCTCCTCTGCTGTCAGCACCCTGAACGCTCTGAGGTTCTGCCTCCCTTTGGTGTTTCGACTCAGACCCGATATGGTGAGTAGCAGCGGTACACCTCCTTGATTACTAACAGTAGAAAGGAATTGTTCTGTCTCCGGGGACCAAATGAGGCATAGAACCGAACGGGTAGACCACACCAGAAGCTTAGACCAGGAACCAGTTGGTTTCACCTGATTCCAGGGAATAGGGGAGGGTCTACGAATCGTTGCATTTACCGTCACCCTAATGTGAGATTCCAGAATCCCTGCAGTGTGTTCATAGCGGAGCAGACGGGTCAAACTGGGTTAGAACCAGTCTGAGGAGACCAGCATGTCCCAGTGTGGTAAGGTGATCGGCCCCTCCTCTCTGTGCTTTTCCAGGTCCTGTGTAACGGCCCAGGAACCTGCGTTCCTCTGTGTGGAGCGGCTCTGCTGCTGGGAATCCTGGGAGTGAAAAAAGTCCACATCGTCTACGTGGAGAGCATCTGTCGAGTGCAGACGCTGTCCCTGACTGGAAGGATCCTCTACCGCCTGGCTGACTACTTCTTTGTGCAGTGGTCCTATCTGAGGGACAAATACCCCAATGCCATTTTCCTGGGAAGACTGGTCTGACCTGGACTTGGACTGGACTAGTTTAACAGAACCTGGACTCATTTAATCTAATTTCCTATTAAAACATGAACTATGATCTTCTGTGTCTGAGTTCTGGTCAAGTTGTCCTGGTACCCTGGTTCCTACAGACCGCCTGGTTGTGCCTGTCTTCACTGTCCTCTGCCAAGGGGGCGGTGAGACGGCGCTGTCTTCACTGTCCTCTGCCAAGGGGGCGGTGAGACAGCGCTGCCTTCACTGTCCTCTGCCAAGGAGGCGGTGAGACAGCGCTGCCTTCACTGTCCTCTGCCAACGAGGCGGTGAGACAGCGCTGCCTTCACTGTCCTCTGCCAAGGGGGCGGTGAGACAGCGCTGCCTTCACTGTCCTCTGCCAACGAGGCGGTGAGACAGCGCTGCCTTCACTGTCCTCTGCCAAGGGGGCGGTGAGACAGCGCTGCCTTCACTGTCCTCTGC